GGGCCCGCTGCGCCCAGGCCGGAAGGCCACCCCCGCCCTCCCTCCCTCCCTCGCTCCCTCCCTCCCCCGGGCAGACTGCCGCGCCGCATGGAGGCTCCACGCAGAGCAGCAGGGCCAAAGGCGGCCGAGCGAGCGCGGCCCTCCGGGAGGCGGCACCTGCCCGCGGGGGAAGGGCGGAGGAGTCCGTCCGGGACGAATGGACCCTTGGGGACAGGGGGGGCGCGAGAGGGAGCGCGCGCGGTGCGGTGGGGTTGGGCTGGGGCGGAGAGAGTGGACCCCCGAGAGGACCTCTGCTCTCTCTCTCCCCCCCCCCAAAAAAAAATACTCCAGGGACGCGGAGGGGCAGGAGGTTCAGGGCGCACAAAAGGAAAGGCTGCTTTGCACATCAGAACATCAATGTTGGGTCAGGCCAAAGGCCCCTCCAGTCCAACACTCTGTCTGTCACAGGGTGGCCAGAAATACCAGGGGCCATCAGGAGGTCCAGCAGTGGAGCCAGGAGACCAGAAGCCCTCCCACTGTTGCTCCCCCCCCCCAGCATCCCTTGCCCCAGACCAAGAGTCCCTATCTATACCTTGTGGCTAATAGCCCCTGAGGGACCTCTGCTCCATATGCTTATCTACTTCCCTCTTATAAGATCATCAGAGAAGCCAATGCTTATCCAATTCCCTCTTGAAGCCGCCCATGCTTGTAGCCACCACCCCCTCCTGTGGCAGTGGATTCCAAGTGTTAATCACTCTTTGGGTGAAGAAGGACTTCCTTTGATCCGTTCTAACCCGACCACTCAGCAATTTCATAGAGTGCCCACAGGTTCTTGTATTGTGAGAAAGGGAGAAAAGTACCTCTTTCTTTACCTGCTCTTTCCCATGCATAATCTTATAAGCCTCGATCATGTCACCCCTCAGTCGTCGTTTCTCCAAGCTAAAGAGCCCTAAGAGAGGGATTAAAATGTGGAGCTCACTGCCAGAGGACATAGGGATGGCCACAGGAATAAAGAGCTTTCCAAAGGGGATTATAGATAGGTTCAGGGAGGGTAAAGTCTACCACTGGCTACTAGTCATGGTGGCTGAGGGGAACCTCCACATTCGGAGGCACTCAGCCCCTGAATCCCAGAGCCAGGAGGTGACAACAGGGGAGGGCCTCGGCCTCCGGGCCCTGTTCCTGGCCCTCCAGACTTTTTTTTAAAAAAACAATCTACTCTGGAAGCCCTGGGCACAACCTGCCAAGCTTTCAATAATAAAACTCTTTAAAGGTTTTTTTTTAGAAATCCTTCAGAACTCTTGTGTTCCCCAAAGGAAGAGTTTGCTTATCTTTGGGAGTTTTCTTCTCCCCAACATGCCTCAAAAAGGACAGATGCTTTTCTGTTGTGTACTGGTTTCGATGCGTATTGAAGACAGACACTGAGTGATTTAGCAGCTCATACTTTACTGGCTCATAAGCTGCTCATACTTTAGAGTCCCTTGGACTGCAAGAAGATCAAATCAGTCAATCCTCAAAGAAATCAACCCTGACTGTTCCCTGGAAGGCCAGATAATGAAACTGAAGCTCAAATACTTTGGCCACCCAATGAGAAGGGAGCCCTCACTGGAGAAGAAGACCCTGATGCTGGGAAAGACTGAAGGTCAAAGAAGACGGGGACGGCAAAGGATGAGATGGTTAGACAGTGTCATCGATGCAACGAACATGAAATTGAGCCAACTTCAGAGGACGGCGCAAGACAGGAGGGCCTGGCGGGATCTGGTCCATGGGGTCCCGAAGAGTCGGACTCGACTGTGCGACTGAACAACAACAAAAGGAGTCTCAGGATCCTAGCCCCCATTGTTCTTTTGGAGCCAAGCTCTGGTCACATACCGCTGGCGCCTAGTGGCGGTCAGCGGACATAACACCCAAAAGATAAAAATTAGATAATTAAGACAGATGGAAGCCATACTGTGAACAATCCCCCTGTCCAATGGTCCTGGTTGCCCCCACCCCACCCCCTTGGGAGCCACCGAGCCCAGGCCCCTGCAGATCAGGGAGAGGTCTGCACCAGCTCAGGAGGCTTCTGGAGTATGCCGCATAAGACGACTTTGTGTTGGGTTTCCGTATCTCACTATCAAAACCCAACACTTTGTACATCCTCCACAACAAAGCAGCCTGGTGAAGTAGGTAGCTTGTCAGATCGGGATGTGGGAGACCCAGGTTCGAATCCCCTTGGGCCAATTGCACTGCTTTCAGCCTAACCTACCTGAAAGGTTTGTTGCGAGGATCAAATGGTGGAGAGGAGAGTGATGTAAGCTGCTTTGGGTCCCCACTGAGGAGAAAGGCGGGGTGTGAATGAATAAATAAATGAAAGTCAGTGAAGTCTGGCGCTGTGGAGATGGCAAACGCTCCAGAAACGACCAAACAATGAGAGAGCCCAGACTCAGCTGGAGGGTGGAAGAGGAACCTACCTGCTGAAGCCCCTGAAAGAACAGGCTCTTGACTTTGGGAAAACCACCTCCTTTGCTGTGATTCATTGCGTCCCTGCAGCGTGTACTATTAATAAACCCTTGCAGCCGCCTTATCCTAGCGGACATGCACCCCATCCACGGACAGCTCACGCTTGAGTTTTCCTCATACATGTGAGTCAGATCAGTGGTCTATCAAGATCAGTATTGCCTGCTCTGACTGGCCGCAGCTCTCCAGAAGAGGCCTTTCACATCACCTGCGACCGGATCCCGTTACCTGGAGATGTGGACCTTCTGCGTGCAAAGCAAAGGCTCTGCCGCTGAGCCACGGACCCTACCGATCTCTTCACAGAGTATGAACGGCAAGGAAGAGACAGGCTTCCACAGATGCTGTGTCATTCACTTCCTCGGGGAATAATTCAGCATCTCTGTACATTCTTAGTTGCCACTCAGCAAAAAAAATGTTCCAAAAGGAGACTGCAGAGTGAAGCTGCCAAGTCCATATGAAGATCTGACCTTGTCAGACTTGGTCTGCACAGAGACCGAGAGAGGCCGGCTGGTAACAGGAAGTAATCTTATGAGGTTTGTGGATACCATACAGCTGGCTTAGTCAGGGCTGCAGTTTGGATAATTTGCTGTTTTGTCTAGCCGTTGTTTTGGTCCGTAGTTTGCATAGTAAAGCAACACACTGTCTGTTGGGTTGTGGGGGGCCCTCTGGCTTCACTGGCGATGCCACTTCCTTTCCCCTTAGGCTGCCTGCTAATTGTACCCTGTGGCATGTGCCATGTGGGCATGCTTGCCAGCTGAATGTCTTAGGCTGCATGCATTGGAGCACTGGGCTCACAGGCACATGTGCCACGAGAAGCATGGAAGATACCACAAGAATTGTTCAGCCAAACACTGTTTTTGACTTTGATGCTGAATATCTGAAACCCTTCTTACCGTGTTTGTGTGCCCCTTTGTTGTTGGCGAGAGGAGTTGGCGTTTGTTTGGTGGCGCTGAATCAGAAGGGCTATTAAATTCTACTGTTCGAATTTTTTGGAAGTATTTTATATAATCTTTTTGGGGGAAACGCCAGGGATTCTTTGGAGCGAGGTGTCAGGTCCAGAGTGCAGGTTTCAGACAAAAGTCGAGGGAACCTCTGAACACGTACAGAATGCCCCTAGCCACAACTAAGCTTTCTATGTTTGAAAACAGAGTGGCAAGCTCCAGGCTAGAGATTTGACATCCAGGCCTTCCATTTTGAATATTAAGCAGTGGATATTGTCCAATATATTTAAATACATAAATCCGTGTTAAATCAATGGATGTCTTTTGTGCCAGCAAGGCACCTCCAACTTGTGGTGAGCCTATGAATCGATGACCTCCAAAATGTGCTGCCATTGAAAGCCTTGCTCAGGTCATAAGAACATAAGAGACGCCAATGTTGGATCAGGCCAAAGGCCCATCCAGTCCAACACTCTGTGTCACACAGTGGCCAGAAATACCAGTGCCATCAGGAGGTCCAGCAGTGGAGCCAGGAGACCAGAAGCCCTCCCACTGTTGCCCCCCCCAAGCACCAAGAATACAGAGCATCCCTTGCCCCAGACATAAGAACATAAGAGAAGCCCATGTTGGATCAGGCCAACGGCCCATCCAGTCCAACACTCTGTGTCACACAGTGGCCAAAAACACCAGGTGCCATCAGGAGGTCCAGCAGTGGGGCCCCAACACTAGAAGCCCTCCCACTGTGCCCCCCCCCAAGCAGCACCAAGAATACATAAGAACACCCAGACATAAGAACAGAAGAGAAGCCCATGTTGGATCAGGCCAGTGGCCCATCCAGTCCAACACTGTATCACACAGTGGCCAGAAATAATAGTGCCATCAGGAGGTCCACCAGTGGGGCCAGGACATTAGAAGCCCTCCCACTGTTGACCCCCCCCCCAAGCACCAAGAAGACAGAGCATCACTTGCCCCAGAGCCCCTATCTATACCTTGTGGCTAATAGCCAC